AACCTCAAACTCTTAGGCTAAAGCAATCCTCTTGCCTCAGGCTGGTCTTGAACTCATGAGCTCAAGAGATCCACTCACCTCAGCCTCCCAGAGTGCTGGGATTACAGGTGTAAGCCACTGAACCCAGCCCAATATATTTGTAACTTTATTGTATTATAAAATTTTATCAAAATTATCTTTTATCTGATTTTGTAGATTCACTGCAGAAATTCTTTCCATGAAAAAGTCTTTAAGAGTAAAGAGGCCAGGCATGGTGGCTCACACCTATAATCCTAGCATTCTGGGAGGCTGAGGTGGGAGGATCACCTGAGCTCAGAAGTTTGCCTGATCATCAGCGAGACCCCATCTCTACTAAAAATAGCCAGGTGTTGTGGTGGGCACTTACAGTTCCAGCTACTCAAGAGGTTGAGGCAAAAGGATTGATCACTTGAGCCTAGGAGTCTGAGGCTGCTGTGAGCTATGATGCCAGGACACTCTACCCCAGGAGAGCAACAAAGTGACACTCTGTCTCAAATAAATAAATAAACAAAAAGAGTAAAGATTATCAGGAAGGGTAGGAGCGGTTAGGTGAAAATCTACCTAACCGGACCAATGAACACTACCTGGGTGACAGGGACACTTACAACCATGACTTGAACATTGTACAAGTCATCCACGTAACCAAGAGTACTGTGCCCCATCATGCTTTGAAATTAAAAAAAAAGATTATTGTACTTTATTCTCCAAACACAGGTTAAGAAGACAGAAGAACACTAAGGAGCTTGATGCTAAAGCACTTTAGGATAATAGATGCAATGGAATTTGTTTCTAAAACAATTTCCACAACATTAAGTAGCTGACATTTTTATAAAGTGTTTGCTATGTGCTAGGTACCTCTAAGAACTTCATATACTAACTCATTTAATCTTTCATACAACCCAATGAGGTAAGTATTTCCATTTGATAGATGGGGAAATTGAGGCAAACAGCAGTTAGGAAAGTGACACAAGTTAGCAGTGACCAGTCAGGGATAAGCTGGGGCTCAACTCTAGGCAGCCTGATTCCCATGTCAGGTCTTAGCTACTAGATGTATCTTAGACCCAAAGGGCACTAAAGGATGAGGCATGATAAGGGGGAAAAGTTACCTAGTCTAGGGTTTACCCACTGCATATTAGAGGTACGTCCAGTTTATTAAGTGCCAAGTAGAGAGTATTTGTGTGATCAGAATATACCAGTCTTTGCAGAGACATTTAGTAGTATTAGAGAAATGGACATTATCAGCTCATAACAAACTTACTATCACCCCACCAGCCTTTGCCCTTCAGAGATGTATTTGGAAACTCCCTTGGTCCTGTATCTACAGCAGCATTCAACAGATAAGCCTGAAGTGCCTTCACTAGCTTTTGGATCTTACAGCAAGTTAGCCCTCGCAGCATCAATTCACTAAACTATACCCCTGATAGTTCTTCTACACGGTCTTCAGTTGTGTAACCTGTATCTCTGCTGGCCAGCCTGACCTGGAGGTGGGCACCATGCCTCCTGCTGACTTTCGGATTATATGTGCTGAGCGTGTTCTTACAAGTTAGACGTTCAACGCACATGTGCTGATTTGGCTGGTTATACAAATCACATTCTATATTACAAGAGTTGTTTGAACAACTGCTTTTTAAGAAGGGCTTGATTATGGATATCTAAATACTTTTACTGGAAAACTGCTATTAACTCTTCTCTGCAGTTTAGGCTGGGGGCCAGTGGCAGATAAAGAATACTACAGAATAATCCAGGAATGGGACAAACTGCAGATCTGACAACAGAAATAAGACTTCAGGTATTTTTACTGGTTCTATCTGAAAAGATTTATACCGAAGGTATTATGATGCTAGCAAAACTCTTGCTCTGCTGAAGGCAGCTGGTGATGCTCCCTCATTATGCAGCCCCGAGGCCTTGCAGCTAAGTCTAGGGCTGCATTTCCAGCACCTTCCAGTCACTCTGACAGTGAAGCGCAGTTGTGGTCACCCTACATGGCCTCCAGGTATCTCCTCCTGGTGTGGCTGGTCAAGGCCACCAAGACTTACCAAGAGGGTAAGGAGCAAAGGTGCTGGGTGAAGACTGCTGCTCTTTGGTCTGCAGGTCAGGGAGGCCAGGAGCCTGGGGGTGAGGGGGGAAGCTGTCCATGGCCGATTTGCCTGCAGAGGGGTGCAGAGACAGGTGTGGCGGCGGCGGCGGTGGTGGCTGCTTCACGAGCAGGGCCTGGGCCAGCTGGCGCTGGTGCTGCTGGATCTGCTGCTGCAGATTGGTGATTGTGCGCGCGACCTGGCAGGCAGAGACACGTGCACTTCAGCTGGTTGGGTAGGACACGATGCTCATGACTAGTCTTAGGGCCAAGTGCATTTTACACTGTGTCTGGGCTGAGGCCCCCAGGGCCAGTCCTCCCTGGCTGATCCTAGGACTTCTCAAAGGGGAGGCGTGACTAGAGAAAACCAATGACAACCTAAGAGTTCATCAACAAGCATCTCTTCTATTAAGGAAAGTTACGACCAGTCATGAAAATCAAGCTGGACAACACGTACTTGTTGCTCCTGTTGTCTCATGGGTCCGGAAACATTACGCTGGGCCTGTAGCATCTGCTGCTGGATTTGTAAACGTTGGTATGCCTGTTGACAGAAAGAAAAAAGTTGAAATAAGAAAGCATTGATAAGGGTGGCACCTGTGGCTCAAGGGGGTAGGGCGCCGGTCCAATATGCTGGAGGTGGTGGGGTCAAACCCAGCCCCAGCCAAAGGAAAAAAAAAAAAGGAAGCGCTGACAAACGGTTTAATTTCCTAACATAAGTCAAAAATAAAAAAAGAGAAACTGGCTGTGATTCTTGATCTCCTAACCCAGCAGTTCTCAACCTGTGGGTCGCGACTCATAGGAACTGTATTAAAGGGTTGTGGCACTAGGAAGGTTGAGAACCACTGTAACCACACTGGGGTTTGAACATATTGTGGAACAGAGGCACAAAGTGTCTTAACAAAAAAAAAAAAAAAAAAAAAATTTGTGATACTGACCCCCACTAGAGGTCAGTAGGGTCATCATAGTTCACTGAAACTTCTAATTCCTGGGCTCAACCCATCTAGCCCCCTGGCTTGGCCTCCAAGAAGCTGGGACTACAGGTACATAGCACAATACCTGGCTAATGTTTTTTCTAATTTTTGAAGAAACAAGGTCCCACTCTTGGTCAGCCTAGTCTAAAACTCCTGAGCCCCAGGGATCCTCCCACCTCAGCCTCTCAGAATGCTGGGATTGTAGGAATGAGCTATCATGCCTGGACCTAAAACTTTTTTTTTCCCCCCTGCCGTTTTTGGCCAGTGCTGGGTTTGAACCTACCACCTCTGGCATATGGGCCAGTGCCCTACTCCTTTGAGCCACAGGCACTCCCCAAGGACCTAAAACTTTTTTTTTTTTTTGGAGAAAGAGGTCTCAAGCTGTCGCCCTGGGTAGAATGTGGTGGTGTCATAGCTCACAGCAACCTCAAACTCTTGGGCTTAAGCGATTCTCTTGCTTCAGCCTCCCAAGTAGCTGGGACTATAGGTGCCCGCCATAATGCCCAGCTATTTTTTGTTGCAGTTCTCATTGTTGTTTTAGCAGGATCGAGGTGGGTTTGAACCCACGGAGGTCCTCAGTGTATGTGGCTGGCGCCCTACCCACTGAGCTAAGGGTGCCACCAACCTAAAACTTTTTAAATACATAAATGTTTAGTCAATACCTTGGCTTAGAATTAGTAATGAGGTCTGTCAGCAACTATTTTTTAGTTAATGAAGATATCAAAATTTTCTGCTCAATTCATATAAACTAAAAATGAAAAAACATAAAAAACAAAAAAAACCTTTGTTCCTATGGCAGAGTACTGGTGACAGACTGTCCCTAGGGTTGGAGAACACCTGTTAACACAGCTCTGAGTATGAGGAGGCTGTGTGATTTTCATCAATCTCATGGGATGAAAGCTGAGGGAGAACCTAAAATACAGATTTATGGGCACTTCTGTCACATGAACCTGCCATCTACTGAGTTGGTTCAAATGATGGCAATATTTACTCTTCTGATACATACTCTGATGCAAAAGGTTGGATCATTTGACTGACTGAAAATGTTGGTTAAATGTCCAATTTTTTCTTATGAAGATTTTTGGTGGTATTTTTAGCAAAAGGACTACTAAAGTACAATTCAAATTAAAGCAGAAATTACACTATTAGAACTACTTCACCAATCTATAATTTATGGAAGAATAAAGTATCGTCACTTCAACAACTCCTGATAGGCCCTAAAATTTAATCTTAGGAAGCATCGAAACTTTATTTTTCCAATTTTTCTGGAAAAAACATTGTTTTAAAAATAGAACACACTAAACATAACCCAAGATTTTCTTTCCTTTTTTTTTTTTTTTTTTT